ACATAATAAAATTACTTACAATGACAAATAAATTAAATTAAAATATTTAATAGTATGCATAGTGATCTAGATTCTAGACTAGTATATTTATTTATAATACTGCCTCAATTGAGGAATGGTCTTACGGATTTATTTGTATTTATATTATACTAAGGACAAAGCGGGTTTCACTTATAAATTATTCTAAGCAGCTATTTAAAATAAACAAGTAACTATGAATCAATAGTAGATTCATAATACTGTCAGCGCACGTACTACGAATCATAATTATACTTATTCGGCTTTTTGAATTTGGCAAACATAATAAATTAGCATTCAAAATTGGCAAAGCCAAGTGGTTACATTGTCATGAAAACAACAATTTCTCAAGAGCCGATGTCACGTCCATATCCTAGGGCGGACGGTATTGAAAATAATTTTCGGTATTACGGTATTGATTTCAATACCGGTTTGAAACGGTATACCGAAAACGAAATGATTCAGTATACCTAAATATTGATATGGTACGGTATACCGAATAATAATAAAATCTAACTATATTTTTACTTTAATATTGTTTCACATTATATACTTACTAGCTGATCCCGTGCACTTCGTCGCCCGTAAATGTATCAAACTCAATATGACTCAAACTTTGTTCAATTCATTATTAATATTGGGTGTATGGTGTTCAAAATTTATTTATCTTTTCCGTTGCCGGAATAAAATTCTGAATCGCAGCACTACATTATCAGGTAGGCAATCTACCTGCGGTAGATCGCGGACCCGTGCTGTTTGTACGGAAGTGTATGATTTAACTCTAAAGTATCAAAGTTATACCAAGTTTATTTTGATATAATACGGTGGATTAATATAACAAATTTGGTTGCTTGTAAAAAATCGCAACTCTTAAAAAATTATGATTGTTGAACTCCTTTTAGGTGTAACTTGCTGCGGTAAGTGCAACTCAGCCACCCTGGTAGGCAAAGTTCAATAATTTGATTTGATGCAAGCTTGTACCTGATCCACTGCAATACAAATAACATTATAGCTTATTCATTTAATTTGTAAATAATTAATTGAAATTATAAAACAACTTTTATCAAACATTCACAAAAACAAAAATGAATAAATCAATATATGTTTCGTCATAAATTACACATACATATGATCATATTTCTACAAACAATGAGACTATTATGTATGCCGATTAGTTAATAAAATGTGGTGGTTTATCAACAACTACTCCACCATAAATTTGTACTTCATTTCTTGACATCTCTCCAAAGTCCAAGTATTGGTTTAGGGTTGTAATTTCTACAGTATCATTGATAGATTCATCAGATTCTCCGCCCATCACATACAATAAACCATCTAGTGCCACTACTCCTATATACAAATGTAATTTAAATTCATACATTTTTTACCAAAGGTTGTCTTAATATATATAACTATTATAGTTTACCAGGACAAAATCGGCATTGTTAACTTAAAAAAATTATTATTTGAGTTACGCCAGGCCTGTATCAGGGAATGCATATTCAAGCTTATAGAAGACCAAACTCATCACTCGGTCTATAATCCTCTACAACTGTTAAGATACACACTTTCCATCATAAGCCACCAATTGCATACATTCACGCCATCCATGACTCCTACACCAACATATTACGACATTTAGACATATTTGCACTGTTGTCCATGTGTCAAGTGCGGGATCATAACAGTCCACAGAACGACAATGTTACCAGCACCAGCACCCCCAACCTACACAATTTAATTTTATGAAATGTATTACAAATTAAAATTAAATAATAATATAATATTCCACCACGTATAACAGATTATTTAGTACAACCACACCCAAACCATATCTCTTAATTGACATACTAGCCACCATTCTCCATTTTTGAATACAGACATCGAAAACCTCTACACTATTTAATGCATTTTCGATATTACATCCACCAACCTAGAATTAAAAAATTATAATATAAAATAAGTAATATAAATATTTATTTAACTTACGGCATATATGGAATCACTTAATATTCCGACTCCTAATTGCCATCTCCTAACTAACATGTCGGCCATTGGAACCCATGAGGGCGATTGTGAAGATACGTCAAGCATACTAACAGATTTAGAACTCGATCCATTTACACCTCCACAGCAAACATAAATTGATCCCTAATTACACCAGACCGGCAAACTTCCGACATTCATTAACCCTGGTTGCAATCTTTCTTAGCTTGGTTGCTGGATCATACCATTCTGTATAACACTTTGGCGATGTTTCAGACCGATTGAACATTAGAATAACCTTATAAAATTAAATGGACAATATAATTATGAAGATAAATTTACAAAACGGAATCTTACTTTTGGTGAATCACCAAACTGCCTGGGTTTACACCTAATTGTTAGGGGAATGGTGAAATGCTGAACTGACTTAAATAGATTAAATTGTATTGCTTCATACATATAATCTTTACCTATAAACATTTAAATAATAATTAAGATAACATATAATTACGTCATAATGATGAATATATTAATTAAAATAACATACATTTAGGACTATTCTTTAGAAGAGGTTCTTCGACTACATTAATTAATACATCAGGCCTTGATGCTAATAATGGCAAACGTACATGTTCCATTAATTCTGGCAAAAAATCTTTTCTCTGATCCAAATCATGTTTTACCCATTTAATAACACATTCATATACCTACGATTACAAATATTAAAATTAATTAAATACATAATAATTTGTTAAATCACTCATTGATAGTGTATGATTATCACAGGGTCCTGTACATATTATTGGATTCCTTCTTTTTATAGCAAGTAAAGAAATGTATTCATTATTAAATACAAGCTGATTCAATGGATTTGAACCAACTATAACTTTAGATAATTGATACTTTTCACAATAATACCCAGTTTACAACAAATAGGTAAGTACCTAGTATTATTATATAGCCACATAGTAACAATAACATAGCCAGTGTATCCAGGGCCGTCCCTAGGGCAGGGCGAGCGGGGCCCTCGCCCTGGGCCCCGCGCTTTCACCAGTTGGACAGGCCCCGCTTTTGTAGATACCATAAAAAAGCCAAGTTAATGAGAAAAAAAATTATTATTTATATATTTTTATATCCTTAATTGCTGTAATTTTTACTATACCTACTTATATTAATTGACATCAGTCGTCAAATAAATGTATTGCATTTAAAATGAGTTAATATGATTAAAATTCAATTTTCAAAGTTGAAAATGATAAAAATCTTCAAATCGCTCTGCCCCCCCCCCAAAAAAAGCAACATCTTAGCTATAATATTTATAGAAAAAAAATGCTTGGATTCTGAGCGGAGCGAAAAAATGTATTGATTTTACAATGATGTGTGTTTTTTTTCTGTTTTGTATGGCGCTTTTTGGGTAGTAAAAGTGCTCCGATTTTCTAGATCAGCATCTTTACTGATAGAAAAGTGAAACTAGTTGGTATTTTCGGGTAGTCAAAATTAAAAATGTCTAGTAGTTTTAGAAAACGTTGAGAAAAACAAAAAAATAGGTGACTTATACAAAACCAATTTTTGAAAAATCGATTTTATTTTTTGGTGTATCTCAAAAATTCATAACTGTAGAACCTTGAAATTTTCAACAAATATTTATGTTAGAATTTTCCATAAAACATTTACTCAATATTTTGACTATTTTTGAGCTAGTTATAGGCTTGAGCCCTTGAGAAATTTTTCCATTTTTCTAAATTAAGAAGAATCTTATAAAGTTCCAATTTTGGCAAAATTCATAAAAGTTTTTTTTTTCATACCTAACTTGAGACATTTTAATAGAAGATTTCCAACAAGTTTTTGTAATTCTATCAAATTAAAAAAGTTCCCCAGGAAGCCACGTTTTCGATCTTTGTTAATTTTTTTTTAGCTACTTAATTTGATTATTTTTACAAGTGTGCTAGGCTGATACAATGTCTCCGCTCAGAATATTTTTTCGTTTACAATAATTTATCAATGTAATTTAAATATAACACATCCATTACAATGACATGCTTGACACCCACTGTACAGCAGAGCGGTACCCACTTGTCCACCTTTTTTCATATTGTATTAGGTGCCTACTATATTTATAGACTTATTAATTTATCAATATTATTATATTAAGTATAAATATATTATGTGTTTTGTTATTAATTAATTTACTTATTCATATTATTGTAAGTACAAGGTACTATATTTTTAAGTATATTTGCGCTGAGCCCCCTTATACCTAGGTAGGTATATATCATAATTCATAATATTAAATATTTAAATAAATGCAACTGCCAACTGACGATAATGACATTTTTGGCCCCACAAATTTACTCTGCCCCGGGCCCCGCAAATCGTCCGGACGGCCCTGAGTGTATCATATAGAATCAAATCATTTTAAACAAATTTCAAAATTTTTTTAGTTTCAATCATAAATTAGTAAAATATATAATATATTTACACATAAATAAAGCTATAACAGTTTTGGATTAGTCAGATAAGGTTAACCTGTTCAGACTGTTCTAACTTGAACTTGAAGTTTAATCTTATTACATTTTAGATTCTGAGTGAAGCGATGAATGTATTGATTTTAGTACTTTACAATGATGTGTGTTTTTTTTTACTTTTTTTATTTTAATTTATTTTTTTATTTTTGTGTCTGTCATCACATTTAAGGACAGTAAAAATTGTAAATACTTAGATTTTCTTCGTCTATGTTCTTTTTTCTGAAAGGAAAGTTGATCTAGTTGATACTTTGGTGGGGGGTCAAAAATAAAAATTTCCCATTAGTTTTCAAAAGCGCCGTGAAAAGTAAAAGAAAAATTAAGGAAAAACGGGAATTTTCCTGCAAAATCTGTTTTTGAGAAAATCGATTTTGGTTTTTGGTGCAACTCTATTACCTTAGGTACACCAAATTTTAACTGAATGTTTATATTAATATTTTCTATACATCATAACATTTTGACTTACTTTGAGTTGTTTACTGACATTTTCAGTTCCCATATTTTTAGTTTTTTCTCTATAAATATCAATAAAATTGTATTTGTTGGTTAAAAAGATTAAAAATGTAATAGAAGGCTCCTAGTATATTGTTTCAAAGGCAAATGAAAAAATTTAAAATCCAAAGTATTTTTTTTATAAGCATTTAACGTACAAATATTGACAAAATACGTAAAAATGACGAAATTTTGCAAATAATTTTGAGTTAGAAATTCATAAAAAAATTTTATAACACATTTTTAATACCTTTTGTTTACCTTTATCAAAAAAAAAATTGTCAACAAGAAAGTCAAATTAAAATTTTATGATCGTTTGAAATTCATATTTTTACAACATTTGATATTCACTCGATTTCTCATGTAATGAATTTCTTTTTTTCATTTTTTTCAACTTTTATAGCTAAGGATTGAAAATTTAAAATAAGGTTCCTACGTAAAGAGGTTCCATCAAGAGTTTTTTCTTTTTTTCTCGTATCTTTTCAGCCCCACCCTTCTTTCGATTTTCCCCAGCGTCACACATAATTTAAATTGCATAGTTCAATTGAATTTTTACACTAAACACACTTTTGTATGTACCGTAACTGACTCAGTAACTCGTTCATGTAAATAGTTTAAAATCAAAATACATATAAATAATGATAAAATAAGGTTATCAATGTTATCAATCAACTAACTGAATATTACCATAAAATATAAAATATAAACACTAAAACACCAATACCACGGATTTCTAAATAATACAATAGCATCAATTTGAGGGAAAATAGTGTAAATACCAAAATAAATACTATGAATTGCAATAGTTTAAGGTATTAAAAATAATACCTTCGTAGGTATTTGATTTTTAATATATTGTTACAATATAAAAAAAAAATTTAATATTGTATGTTTAATTTATAAAATTATAATTTTTTTTTTTGTAATTATATTACAATAATTATAGCGGCCCTTCGACGCATAGCAGGCGTTTTTGACTTCGTGTCAGATAATATTTCCACCCACCTCTCGTCACCCATCATCACATATTTTCGGAAGTACGGACGAAGAAAAATTATGCCATCATCACGCACGTAGTTCGGTAATTCGTAACGACGAAAAACCAACTACGAATTTTTCCGTCACCACACCACCTATCGGCACCCACTCTTAAATCCCAAACCTACACCACCCCACCACCCACCACACTCACCTCACCGGTGGTCAACATCAACGGCTTATGGGGCAGCCGTAGGTGTAGGGACAATGGTAACAGAGCCACGGGTGTTCACCTGCAAAGGTGACGGGGGCGCAAGCACACCAACTTCGCACACCCCCGCATTATAGGTCATTCTGTATACGCAAAGCATCAGGCGAGTACCGAGACAACCGACAGGGACAGTTTGGTCATGGCGGTCAACACCGACCACCAATCAGTCTCTGTCGCGGTTTATTAATTAACACATAAATTCGATCATTTAAGACTCTGTTAACCCTAATTATGTTATTATTTATCATTTTTATTAGTTGACAATGTAAAACAATGTGTTAATTAATCGTGTATGTTAAATTTCAACAAATAACTATCACCACTGTTTATCTTGTAGTTTTCTCATACAAATCGATGTGCCACACCATTTTTTTTTAATCGGCGGTTCGAGCGTGAAAAACGCGCGACAAGCTCAAAAATGATGTGACACCTCGATTCGTATGAGATTTTTACAAAAAATACAACTTGAGTATTTATTTTTACATTTAAGATAATGTTCTAAAAATAAATTGAAAAAACCCAGATTTTGAAGCTAGAAAAAAATTTTCAAAAAAATCATCATTGGGTCATCACACTGAGTACGCATATACTAGTTTCCTCATTCATTTCAGAAACACCCTGTAGATAATACTATGTAATTGTAAAGTATAAAGCATTTTATTCATTATATTTTAACTTTATAAACATGATAAATATTAACTAGGAGGTACCTATACTAATAACTAATAAGTAATATTATATTTTATTACTATTTAATTTTAAAGTATAGTCAAAATACCAATGTTGGATTATTATCTGTAGATTTGGTATTTTGGTTTGTTCTTGTCGACTTATCGGGCAGTCACATATTATTTGATTGTAGTGTTTATCATAGAATGCCATAATAGATAGATATGACATTTTACCTATATCGGTTAATTCTCGTAAAATTAACTATTTAGTAACCGCGAATCGCTTGTATAGTGCAGTTATATTTTGAATATGGAAAAGTTTAATGTAGATTTAAATGATTTGTTAGAAAAAAAAAGGTTCAAATACTTCATTTTTGAAAAAGCTTAAAAGCTTAAATATGATCAACTAATTTCGCATATAACTCAACTAAAGAATAATTAAAAAAAAAAGGAATTGAATGATTATAACCTTTTAAAAAAATACGACGTGTTAAACGTTGCTAATGTTAACAAGTTAATTGTACCTGTATCTGAATAAAAAATAAAAATATTATTGGAGTTATTCTTTCGAGTACCTATAAATACTATACTTTTATTATTAATATTCCAGATAAACTAATAAAATTTGTTTTACAGTTAACAATGACATGTACGAAATCGGGACTAAGGAAGGTCGCCTTTCAACTTTGTATAGTAGAAACCAA